AATCCCATTTGAGAGAGAAACTGAGGCACAGTGCAAAACTGTGACTTGAGAACATCAATACAGCAGGACAGGGACAAAGTTAAAGTGAGAATCTAACTCCTTCCTGTTCCTACAAGAAGTCCACTGGACAACACTGTCGTAGCCACAGCAGGATAAGTCTCAAGTGAGAGCCCTGCGCCTTCTACAGACTTCTGCACTGTTTGAAGAATACATCTGGTTAGCGGACAATGGAAATATCAGCTATCTCCCTTGGGATATAGAAAAACCATTTTCAGTCTGCTGTGTTCCATGAACTCAGTCAGTCACTGGTCTTTTTTTCTGTGCTTCAGCTTCTCATCTTAGTGTTGCCTGTCCTCTTTTCTCCACTTGTTCTTTCGTCCGCATCCAGAGCGCAACACTCAGACCTTCACCTCCAAGGTCAGTGCAACTGGCACGCTGCAGCATTCTCCTCCTCAGCCCAGTCCGGCACAGCCAGCACTCGCCCCACTCGAAACCCCTGCGCAACCCGTCCTGTCCCAGGCAGCTACCGAAACACCCCCAATCTCAGCAGAACTTGTAACACACCGTCAGAGCAGAAAGAAGTTTTATGCGAGATCCTCAGGTCCTGACTGCTTGCCTAGTGTTTGATAAACACTCAGAGAGTCGGACCTGTACAGCCTTGAAAAGCAAAGTTTCATTAAGCTCACGAGCCTCAATGTTTTATAGCATTGCTCTCTAGTCAGGTAAAGAGCAGGTTCAGGTATCTTGCCTTAAATCCCTTTCTAGCTTTCATACCCTCAGGACAAACAAGGCAGCCAAGAGGTAATGGTTTACAAATAATAACATAATTTTATTTCATATCTACATTAGTAAACTAAAGAAACCTATTATTCATCATGAACTGTTATTAGCATTATTGAGGAAGTGATGTGGAATTTATATCAATTTTCCTCTTATTGTAAAAGACTTGCCCAATTTATTTTAAATGTCAACGTACTATGTATTCATCAGGTGTGCGGCAGTGATTGTAATTAATTTCACATTGTAGTCTAGGCATATGCCTTAATATTAGCTTCACACATCTTTCAGGGGAAGCAATAAATGGAAGCATTGGTCATTTTTGGTCATTAAGTCTTCAGGAGTATTTTTCACAAGATAAGACTGTCAAGATTCACATCCTAGTAAAATTCTAGCAGATTATTTATAGCCATCTCTGCTTTGAAATCCTCCTGCAATTGAAATGAAATGCAAGACTCCACAACAGCTGGTTAGGATTTTTGAGAAGAATAATTTAGTCACAAAAAGGAAAAAATCCCACAGTCTGAGGGTGAACACGGCTAATTGTGAAATCATGTTGAATTCAAGGGACAGTTTAACAGGAAAAAAACCCCAAACTTAAGGATGCTAAAAGCATGAAAGCACTTAATATTTTCTAAAGCTTATGTTCTGAAATGGAGCTGCATTAAGAACTGCTTACATTTAGTAAAAGGATCTCTTAAAAGTAAGAAGTTACCTTCAGATCAAAGTATTATATTTAAATGGAAATCAAATTTTCTCTTCTTTCAATTCAGCAAGAAAAAGCTGACAACTTTTCATTCCCAGTCATCCTGCAATGGTTGCCCCCATTTCTTTTTCCAGATCATCCACTTAACAGTTATTTGTGCTGATCTAGTCATGTCTCCTCTCTCAAACTGTGATATTGCTGTGGGTTTTCCCACGTTCACAACGCCATGCAGTAGCTCCTGAATGCTGTGTGTGCATTCGTGAATGCAAGTTCATAGCAGCACGTATGACAAGGAGCCATTATGACCTTTGTTTTGCAGCTTGGAAGCTGGGAACCCAGACTACATGGACCAACATGAGATTGTGCAGAACCATCTGCGCCGCAGCTGGGAACAGAAGCCAGATCTCTGAAGTGTGACCTGGTGCCTTAAACCCAGAGATGCTGCATCCCCAGCAGCATTATCCTCAGTCACAATCGTGTCCGCTCCTTGAGAGATGGCTGGGCTGGGGAGGAGAACATCAGCCTTTGTTTGCTCTCAACACTGTCTTCCACAGCAGAAGAATGAATACAACACCCCTACTATTGACTGAGCTTTGAAACAGTATTTGGCATCTAGAGAAAAATCACAACAAACAGTAAGAGATCAGAGAACATGAAGAATCAGACAATAAAAGCAGACAGAAACAAGCTGGCAACACATACCAAACCTAAATGAAGAAAGCTGAGGAAGTCAGACAGTGAGGAAAAGAGGATTAAGGAAGATCTAGCAGCAAGGCACAATAACATATAATGAAGTCAGAAAACTGTGAGGTCAAGAAGGAAGCAGCACAGCAGCCCCTGAGCTGGCTATTCCTCAAATCCACTGCCACCTCTGGCACTTGCCGTACCTGGAGCTTGAAAAAAGCTTTGCAGAATTTCAGAAACTCACTCTACCTATCTGTTCTTAAAGCATTTACCAAACCTAAATGAAGAAAGCTGAGGAAGTCAGACAGTGAGGAAAAGAGGATTAACTAGCAGCTAGCAGCAAGGCACAATAACATATAATGAAGTCAGAAAACTGTGAGGTCAAGCAGCACAGCAGCCCCTGAGCTGGCTATTCCTCAAATCCACTGCCACCTCTGGCACTTGCCGTACCTGGAGCTTGAAAAAAGCTTTGCAGAATTTCAGAAACTCACTCTACCTATCTGTTCTTAAAGCATTTCTAAATATTCTCATAGTGGAAACATTTTTTTTTAACAGATTCTGCCACCACTGCACACAAGCCCTCCCTTTTTTAGCCAGTGAAATATATAGCTAAGCTGTGTGTCCTGAAACAAGGAGAAATGAAGAAATATATACAGGTATGAGCAGGAGATGTCTGTGCCGTTTTCAAGAAACTGCTCGTAAGAGATCTTATCATGCAGGCATCATACTGACTAGATAAGCTAGGAAGATGTTAACTTAGATAAAAGCCAAGCTCAATTTATGTATTTCCCAGAGGGTCAGGGTAGAGCAGATGTCAGTGTAAGCACGATGTTTTTGTGTCACTTTGATGCCTCCAACTACGTACTTTCTTCCTGTCCTCCTTTAAAAAGTTCCTGAGATCTTTTGTTCCAGTTTTAAAATTCTGTTTCTTTTGGTGCATTTCCCAGCAATTGCTTAAAGGGAGGAGAATAATGAACATGCTTTGATAGCAGATCATAAAGGAGCCATTTACTGCAAGGACTCTGATGCATTGTTCTGTCTTTAAACATGAATTATTGAATCACAGGCTATTCACCGAGTCATAGATTACCACTGAACTGAAACAGCATTACAGCAGCAGCACATCCCTTTGATCAAAAAACACACTTATCTCCTCCTTTAGTCTTAGTTAACAACAATCCAAACAGCAAGCAAGTAGCTTGTTTTGAGGCAGGCTCAGAGCAGCACGTTTAGAAAGCCTGCCCCTCTCCCTCTCAAAATGAAGCTTTCATTTACACCAATGCTCCGTGTCACTCAGTGGCTCAGCTTAAGTTTTAAGCACATTTCTTTTTTTCCCCCGGAGATGCCCTCAGTTACCTGCTTTAAAGCCTCCTAATCACCAGTCAAATAAACTTCAGATAATTTAAAATATACGTGACTAAAAGGCAGCCCTGGAACAAGCCTTTGTACAAGATTACCTGCTGCATCAAGGTAATAAGAAAAACATTAAGAAGCATGCAAGTAACTAACTAAATGCCAAAAAAATGAACTCAATGTCAAGAAGTACAAAAACAGCTACGTGTCCTCTACCACACAATTTGGGAGCAAGGTACTGTCATGTCTACTAGACACAGTGATTGACATATGTTCTAGCAGAGATTCTGCAAACGGGCAACGGGATCTGCCTTTCCTCACCACACTGCTGTGCTCACCTGTCCCGACAGCCGCCACACACCACCAGCATCCCCAGCAGGCACTTACCCTGTCAATAAACAGAGCATGGTCTCCGACCGAGATGAACTTCAACACCGTTGCCTAGCCATACTGAACACCTGCTAACACACCGATCACTTCAAGACTAAAAAACATCTTAGTGCCACTGCTGCCTCAAGGCAGAGCAAAGGTTTTAATCAGAAATTAGAGGGCATTTAAACAGAGTCCTCCTGAACCTGAACAAGCGTCAAGTGCAGAAAACATTGAGAGACTACAACATCATCTCAATGAAGGCATCTGTTTGGTTTAATGTATTGGGTAATTGTCAGGTAAGACTCATTACCAAAAATTGTCATTAAGGCTGAGAACTTCTAAGGACTCCAAAGAAAAACATTTACAGGGATAGAAACAACATTCTAGGTTCAATAATAAACATAAATGTATCTCAAATTTTAACATGGTTAATTTGTCATTTACCCAGCAGTACCAGCTCATATTGCAATCATGACCTGCCTTCTACTATAAACAGTTCTTTCATATACCTGATGACTTCTACCATCCAAGATTTTCTGAAGCTACCAAGCCTTCACATACAATCCTTCACCTCCACAACCACCAAACACCGCACATTATTTATGACAAGAGACACAGGCGGTGAATTTAAACACTTGGGGAAGAAGGTGCAGGGAAAAGAAAAACAACAAATAAGTGAAGAAAACGTAACGGAAAAAATGCACTAATGTCCGAGCATCCTATACACTGCTCTGCAGTGCCCACTGTCTCAACTGTAAATCCCAGTGGCTACATGGGGCACTGCGCTTGCCGTAACCCTGCAGATTCCACTGTCAAACCCCACATTACCCTTCCTTCTCAGTCATTCTAGCTTTGCTGTTAGAGTGAGCTTTTAAAGACATTTTGAGCACAGATGCTGAGAGGAAAAAACACATTACACTTGGAAGGAATCAGCAATTTGAATTCTGAAAAAATGGATCAAATTATGCAAGAACCAGGCACTCCCGTCTTGGATTAAGTGTCTGCATATGTATATATCCTGGTATAAACTCTGCACCTTAGTTTCACATCCTACCATAAGCCAAATGCGGATACAATTCAAGACAATTACTGAACTGGGCAGACTTACCTTCATAGTTTGCCTGGAAGCCTTGAGCACTGACCGCATAATCACTCACAAGCCACAAGGACAGCACAACCCCTGTACTCACAATAGGAGAAGGCAGCTGGAAACCCGTTAACCTGGAAGAGATCAATAGGAAGGTTACACTCACCATTTCTGCCCTTGACCTGCTAGTAAATTGAGAGCGGGGCAGCTGCCACTTTGGCCAATACACCACAGCCAGAAGTAGGGAGCTTCAGAGCTAAAGAAAACAGACTGGTGCAGCTTGAATTTAATAGCTGTTCAGCAAATGCTGGGCAAACTCATCCTGGGCTTTTAACACCTTCTGGCTTACCAGAATAGCTACTAATGTATTTCTTCATTGACTATATTTTAAGCCAGTCTATCTGCTTCACACCTTGTTCACTAACATCATCTGCTCTGCAGCGCCCTGCTAACCCCAGCTCTGATCTCGGAGCAGTCACTGAGCCCTTCAGAATAACTTTCCCCATCTATAAAAACAGGAGCAATATTTAAGGTTGCTGAGTGAGCCCAAGACATTATTCAATAATGCTTATAACACATTTTGAGAACCTTGGCGTAAAAACATTAGATAAGGGTGTGAAGCATTATACAAACTGCATTAAATTGAACACAATCTAAAATAGTAGAAGACAGCAGGCAAGAAAGCGTTGTTACCAATTAAAGCCCATCAGGGTGGCTATTCAGAGTATTTGTTCTGTAGTTTTACAGTGGATAAGTTTTGAAGTTTCTAGGAACCCTAGAAACCCCCACCCAACTGCACCTGCAAGAACAATCCCAAGGATAGCACTTTTCATCCTACATCCTAATATATAATATGTACCACAGTGAAGATTGTGATGGTTAACACCTCTTTACTCACTGAGGAAATCAAAGCCCACAGACACGAAATTGTTTGCACAAGATGATCTAGTAGATGTACCGTAGGAACTGCCTAGAATACAGACATGCCGACAAGTCAGAGTAGAAACAGCTATATAAAAAGGTGACTAGTGAATAGCCCAAAGACAGCATTGCAGAAACCCATAGCCCCGGTGTCTTGCCCTCCCCTGGCTTTCCTTGCAGGCTTAGTGCTAAATGACAACTGTTGATTTTATTACAAAAGTCTGTTTGGTAACATTTTAAACTGGCATTATTAGATCCCAAACACTATACTCCTAATACTGTGTTGACAGAGCCCAAAAACAGCTAATGTACATTTCTCACAGACCATTACAGTTTTATAACTTATAAGCCTTCTCCTTACACTTGGCTAAGGTGATTTACATAATAGATTTACATAAGGAACATTTGTTTTAAAGCAATCTCATTAGATTCTTGCTTGCCATAATCAAGGACAGAAATTCCGATGCAACCCCCATTGCCTGATAACTGTCCTAAAACCAGACTTTTACAAAGCTGCAGAAGCAGCAGTAACTGAAGGAACTTGCTGCCACACGACATCATTCAAGATCAAGAGTATTCAAGCTGGATCACAAGGACACAAGTAGCACAAGATAAACAGGCTATGGTAAAAAAGAAAGTTTAAAGCTTCTTACACACATACTCGGAGGTCTATCCCACATCCTCTTATAGAGCAGCTAAGTCTTTCTTACGGAGAGGGCAAAAGATCACTCGTGATACAAAGCACTCTGACCCCTTAAGAAATACCTGTAAGTATATATTTGATTCAGAGTATTTCCTCTCCTCATATATTATATGGAATGAAAAAAGCACCCATAGAATAAAATCAGATCTTTAATTTTGGGGGCCACCATCCTCTCTCTGACCATGGGGTCAGGTACTAGTACACTGCAATTTCCACTCCAGGCATTTTCTCCCTAAAGTTGCCACCAGCTCCCCGTCAACTTCCAGAGACAGTGAGTGAGCTTCCCTGCTGTTCTTACTCTGGCTCTAATTTAGTAAACCTAAATATTATTTCAAACAGATTGAACTCTGACTAATGAAAGCTGACATGCTCTGCCCAAGAACCTTATTAAAGCAAAATTTCCAGTTATCAGCAAAGTTTACATAGTTGCCAGCCAGTGATGGCAGTCAAGTTTGAATGTCAGCAAAGAAGTACTTACCCGCTCTCAGCATAAAATCCATTGTCTGTACAAGCTGGAAAAACAATTGCTCCTGTTTATTAGAAATAAAAGGTTCCAGGATTTTTACAGATTCAAGATAGTTTTACTGTGCACAGAACTGAGGAAGAGTGCCACAGTTTTTACTAATATATTTTACAGTTTCATTAAAATGGCTTATTAAAACCTTCACGCACTAAAAAAATCCAGGAAACGCATGGACCAGTTTTAATAAAAACATGCAATGGACAGCAGAACCTGTCCATTTTTCTTCTTCTAATCACCACACAGTGTTTTACCATTATCTAGGAATTAGTTAACAGCAGTCTGTGCTTTTTATATCCAAAGTAGATCTGTTCTCTCTGAACTAAGCTTTTTGCATCATAGATTCTGTTCACAGTCTATGTACTGGGAGGACCCCACTCTACAGATGTTGCTTTTAATTCAGGGCAACATTTACATGTCTGCTTACCTGCAAGCAGGTGCACATATCCCATAGGAGTCAGTGAGAATTAAGTGCTACCTAAAACATTGCCCTTAAGCATGTGTTTGTATTTTCTAGTTACAGGGCCTTAAAAGAAAAGGATGGCCTATGCATAAGGGCATGAAATTGTAAAAGAGGGTTTGTTCTCAGTCTTTCTACAGATTCCACGTTGACTGAAGAGACAATTTTCATGGGAACCTCTGGGCTTCCTAGACCTCTAAAAATTAGTAAACCTAACCATCTCGCCAGGCCCTTAACTTCAGATATTCATTTGTGTCTGTCTAGTGTCCCTGGAGCAAACAGAAGAAAATGGGCTGCCTGACAGCACAAAAGGTGACCAAACAGTCCCCCCCACTTCAGATCAAACAGCCTTTCTGCCCACAAAAGATGGAGTGCCCCCATTAGTGCTAAAACTAAACTTATTCAGAAGGAAGCAGGTAATACTGCTTCAATAAGAAAAATATCTATATAGTAAACTCCTACCCTCTATGCCACTGATTTCCATAACTCCTGCAGTGAAAATCTGCACTAGAAACAAGATGAAATTCGTCCTGTTCCTCACTGGAGGCAGCTGCAGTCAAAATAAAAGTTACTCCTCCTCTTAAGCCTTCAACCAACACACACAATTGAAAATTTTCCCTTCTTTTGATGTCTTCATCTCCTCCAAGCAAGAGCACAGGCAAGATCCTCTTGAAGAAACAATGATTTAACAAGGCCAGTGCACAAATCACTCCTGTAAGACCTCAGCACTCCTGTTCTAAAGACCCAGAAACAGCCAAGCTTGGCAGGACGCCCTGCCTTGTTTTGACCTGGCTGGTAAACTGTCCTCATGCCTTCCTCCCTAAATCTGCAGCTCAGGCAAATTTAAAGCATGAGGATCAACATGATGGCAGACAGAATATGAAATAATTCCCCAATGGCCTCATGCACAAAACAGTAATGCTGACATCACTGTTATTTAATGTAGCAATAAAAAAATATATACACTAACAAGAAAGAAAAGCAAACTCTGTTCCTTGTTTTTATTAAGGACCATAACAAGAAGGTGAGGGCAGTAATAACAGCACAAATAATCATCTTCCATTTCTTCTCTGGCCAAATGGATTATTGAGTGATTATCCCCTTAAGTTGCTTGGAGCCAACACTGATTGTGCAAGATTTTCAATGTGTTTTTCATTGGCTTAATTCTGCTCCTACTGTGAGGAACCAAACTAAACCAGTGCCAGAAATACCACTTCATAAGCTTGCCCTTGCTTCACAGTATGGCAAAAATCAATATACCAAAACAAATCAACACAGAAATCCTCCACTCTATTTGCATCCTCCTTCATTCTTTGCCTCAGGTTTGCCACAGACATCACAAATATTTCTCGTGCATGACTCTCCATTAGCAGCAGAACAGCAAAATCTGCTTCACAGAACAGCTTTGCTAGAACCAACGTCAGTAAAAACTAGCTGCTGTTGCAACCACCACCTCTTTACAGGTTCTCCGCAGTGCCATGAGCACTGACGCCCCTCCGCATGCCAGTGGCTGCTAAGGCTGAAGGCCTGGACCATACACTGGGGTCTGGTTGTGCTGCTCTCCACTCCTCACAGAGCCCAACCGACCATCTAGCCTCTGCGACATATCACCATCTTCCCTAATGCCATGAAGTCCCTCCCCAGTGGGAAATTGTCCTATCAACCTATGAAAGGCGTTGAGCACCAAAGATGCACTGACTGCTCTGCTCAGCAGGTTCAACTCGCAGTTGAACACGTCTTTTGCCCTAGAAAAAGAACAGTCAGCCAAGGACAGCCCACATCTCAGTCCCTTTGCAAATGGCTCTCACCTCCATCTGTTGCATATTATACTGTTCCACTGTATCAAGTACAACTGTATCATATACTGTGACGCAGGCTCCCATCTTGGAGTGCAGGTGCCATAATTAAAACAGAGCACATTCTTTTTCTGGTAGGATGCCCACCATCAGCTCAGCCTGCAATCAAAATAGTTATTGCAGCTGGCAATCCAACAGCCTTTAAAGCATAAATGCTAGAGAAATGTCTCAGAACATCTAATGAAAACACAATGGATTGCATCGTTTAACCCAGCATTAAATTACACTACACCATACTTCAGTGATTTTTTCCCGCGTGTAATTTAAAGGCACCTATTAAAGAAAATTTCCCATCAAATGAACCACTCTCTTCACTATATACAGTTTAACTGACATGGTTCTGTAAGCGCTAGTCTGACACCCCTGCGCTATCCCAGGACAATATTTAAGCTAAGTCAGGTGTAAGGCACCATGTTGAGAAAACAACAGCTCAGAGTGAGAGCTGCCCTTTGGAAAACAGTCTGGAATGAGCAGGTGAGTTGTCTTTCACACTGTGTGCCCAGCTAACAAGGCAGCAGTCAACCTGAAGCCATTTGAAAGGTGCATTCATGAAGTATTCAACTAATCCATTATCAACTGGGGCCAACAGAAAGAGCGCAATAACTTCCAACTGACTTTGAATCAAGTTTTGTATGCCTTATTCAGCCAGACAGCTGGCTCTGTCCATTCCTCAC